TGAATTTTGGTAACTTGGGGCAGAACTAAAAGCCAAACAATTTCTAATTATTTTCATATAATTACTTAATGAATTGTTACTCTTAATCAGATTTTAGTGTATTATAAATGTTGACTGCTCGGACGACTTAGCTGCTGTGGAAGTATGTTTTGTTGCCTGGCAACCTATCTTTTCTTCATATTATTAATGTCAGTAAATTTACTGATCACATATTGATGCTGTCAGATTAAAACCAAACTTTTTATTGCTAATTTTACATCGTTTGAATCCTACATCCAAAAGGGAGGCTACTATATTGTTTGTTTACATTTTATCTCTTTAATAGTTTATGTTTTAAACCAGACATATTGAAAACTGATAGTTTTTTGCCCAAATATGAGTATCCCCTTTGAATGTACATGTAGAGCATGCATATCAATTCCAATAATAAATAAAATTTTCATTATTTCGCCAACAAAAGATTTTATTAGGACATGATCTCAATGAAATGAGAAAACTCATACACATAAAATTTCATCTATTTACACTAAGGTTTAACAAATTGACAGAACAGCAACATAAGCTCTATCATCTATGTAAGACATGGATTCGATCCAACCCATGTACATGTATATTACAAGGAGTACAGTTTTCTGTCTAACATTGTGGCTTTTCTACAGTTTCCTTCCATTTCTATAGAATGTATTACAGTAAAGATATGTCGTATGTTACTCCCAATATGACATATCAGGTGTTGATATTCAACTCCATTTCTCTCAAGCACGTAAAATGTCAAAAATGAATCGGGTGACAAACAAAACCTATAAAATGATATATTACACGAGTCATTTTGCCAACAATATTTGTCAAGGTCAATTTCAGGCCATTTTTGGCTGGAGTTAGCCAGTAAATTTCAGAGGTAGCAAACTACAAATATCTTCACTAGGGTCATCTTCTATCAGAAACCATTGTCAAACCTTGTTCAGGGGTCAAAATGGCTAAGTGGGTAAGACGCTGGCTCGCTAACCTGGAGGTCGAGTGTTCGATCCCAGTATTGGCCGAGAAAGTTCATCCAGATTTTCCAGCGTGATTCACTCTTGTCAGTGATGCAGGGCCTGACAAGGACAGCTGTCTAGTCGTTCAGATGGAACAAAAAACCGAGGTTCTGTGTACACATTGGCATGTACTTAAAAGTTGGAATTCAATATAAGAGTAGGCCGTAGTGCCGCTTTCCGGCCCAAATTTCCCTCCATAGCCCACAGAATGGCGTATGCCAGTCTTCATTAGCCCAGTTCGGAGCAGAACAGTAGGACGTTAAACTCCATTTCATTTCAAACCTTGTTCTTCGAGAAATAGTCAGTTTTATCAGTGAAATAAAAGTGTTATTCCACTGGCTAGCAGTAGTCCATGTTGTTTTTACCTAAAATGATTGTAAAATCATAAAATAAATAGAACATTTGTCGTTTTGTCGTGAATAACATATTTTATTTCATCTCTAAGCAAGAAAACGTTTATATTTTCACTCATGCTATGCATTCGTGAAAATATAAGTTTTCTTGCTTCTCGATGAAATAAAATATGTTATTCACTCTAAAACGACAAATATCCTCTATTTACTTATGAGCCAGTTCTATTTACTAATGAATATTCTGTTCATTAACTTATACTAGTGATCACTACTCTAAGCTAATGTTTAGTATACGTATGTATGTATAGAAAATAGTTATACTGCAGTAGTCATTAATAAGAATGTGTGTAACCAGCTAAAAAAGATGTCACTTGGCAGGGTTTTACTTCTTTAGTGATATACATTTTACATGTCTACAGTACTTACATACTGACTACAACCTGATTACTGACAATTTTAGCTTATAATAGTTATAAACATTATGTAATCATATATTTTCATTTATAAAAGTCAATGATATCAACCTTTTTACAGAGCTAGTAATATTAACAATAGAATGTTTTTGTTAATGTGTTGTAATTTGGACTTTTGTTACGATTTGTACATACATGTACATGTAACTAGAATTACATTTACATTACATATTGAGACGTTTATGTTTCAACCCGACCTATTCATTTGACAAAGTGTGAAATTCCTATTAATGAATTTCACTGCTATGTTACGATCCCATTGAGGTATTTTTATTGTAATAAAAAGCACTTTCTGTGTTTGTAACATCTTCTTGTTATCGTCACAATTATCCACATACATGTAGATCACTAGATGTATTGATCTAGACATTCAGATTAACGAAGTACTGATAAATGATTTCAAACTGATGACAACAGTTAGATTTATTACACAGATGAGTTGAGGGAGTTCAATGTCTCAAGAATGCAGAGGTGGTATAAGGAGTGTTTTTTTAGGTCTGAGTTCGAAGCCATTATGTGATCTTTTGATAAACTGAAGAGTACCGGTACTCTGTTCAAGGTCTTCTATTTTTTAAGTCGAGAAAGTGAGATTAATAGCTACGGTCTAAAAATAAAATGTGATTTGATGAATTATGTAAATGTATTTTTACTCATCATTTTAGAATTGGGATTCCTATGGGATTGTTATTGTAAGCCATTGAAGACAGAATTGTTACATACGATATATGTATACACATCTTAAAATTAAAAACTTTGTAAATCTATAACAGTATGTATTTAAGTAGATGGATTACTACAGAAATGCATCTTTAATTGGCCATAACTTAATAGGGCATTATGTAAGATTAGATAAAGAGCTGACAATTCTCGTTATAATAGTTAAAAAAATAGATACCGTAATGTAAAGAGAATTGGCCGAAAATTTCAGTCAAATTTCAGTCAAATTATCATTGCTACTGTTGTTAAGATAATAAAAAAATCTCGATTATCCATTTTTATGTTAAATCATCAACTGCAAATCGTATTTAAATCTAATAAAAAAAAAAAACTAGAGTATCCGATGGCATCGAGAGTTGATTATGGTCTTGGTAAGTTAATTAATGTCTAATTAATAATTTATAAAGAAAGACCCCCAAAAGGAATATTTAGCTCTTACATAATGCCTGTTTGAGTAAGAATTGATTGATTTAAATAATTATTGGACCAGATTTTTTGAAAATGAAGGTCTATGGTTATAAGGTTATTGAACTTTTATTCTTACACTTTGAGTAATAGAGTAGACATAGTGTTTACATACATGTAAAGATTTAGCTGTATGTAGATTGCAAATTTATATTTTCTATACGATTTTACAATTAGATATTTGCACCTGGGGAAATGATGAGGAAAGCATATATGTACATGTAGTCAATCGGCTCAGATGAAACAAGATGAAGTTCCAAATACAAATTTGTAATAAAGGCACAAATAAGATTCAACTGGATTGGGTGGAAATGCTACCATATTGCAAATTTCACTGTGAGATAAAACGATAGAAATGAAAATCACCAAATAGTTTGGCTAAAAATGACCCTGACGATGTTAAACTGTTTGGGTTTTTTTCTTCTTATCTGTCAGCTATTTGTTTTTTAATTTATGTCTAAATTTCTAATTGTTTTCATGGCTTACAAATTAATACAATATCACATTTTCCAGTTTGTAATTTATTCACAGACAAGGTGGCATCAAACATTTGCCTTGTGGCATGTATTTTTCTTACCATAACAATAAATCAATTTACCAGGATATCTGATCCCATTACACTTTGCTTGTCATTTATAAATATCTTCATGACGTCTGCCTGTGTCATCTGCTTGTGTCTTCTGCAATAATGTGGGAGTAGAAAGGTTTTATAAATAGCTTTGTTTATGCTCTCTGAGATGGATGACTATAGATTTATAGATTCTCCTTCATGATATATTAGATTCTACCAAAACTTACAGACACATGAGATTTGCAATAAAAGTATGCTTAATATTTTAGTACTTGATACTTAATCAGAGGACAAATATCACCATTAGCACAAATTATTTACAGGCTTGAAGCAGTTCAGCACAAACAGTAGCAAATAAGCAATGGATATAGGGAAAAAAAAGGACACAGAAGGACTGTGACTGTAAGGTTACATGTTATATTTTTGATCCTCACTGTGGTTTTGTGTCCATTGTTTCATTAAAACCTTTATATTTGCATTCCAGTCTCCAACTTTATTATTCCCAGTAGGATTATGGGGCAAGGGGTTGTTTACTTCTGATAAATAGCAGAATCTCACTGTGAATTAAATGATTCCTTAATGCCATTAATCCTCACAAGATATCTCTAACAAGAAAAGGTTGACAATGTCACATTTCAGCACCATTTTTTATTCTTTAAGCAAATTTTGATCATGTCAGTGTGAAAGCCAATGTTAATCTGACCCTATCAGGTACGGTTAAAAATATGAGAATGCCAATTGCGGAGAAATTATTTAATCCTAAGAAACAATTACGAGTTTGACTTAAATAACCCTTTTATTTCCAGCTGTGGTCATGAACGGTATTCTAGTCACAAGGGAAGAAAAGAAAAAGTGATTGGCTGATTAGACCCTGTCTTTTGCACATGATCAAATATGTTCAGTGTCCTCATTCCTGAAATGAAAGTCTTAGAAAGACCTTGTTTTCCTTTTGATTTACTTTTTAAAAAAACATACAATATAATGGATATAGGTTGTAGAAAGGATTAAATAATAATATTGTTTGTAATTAATTAATTCAAATTGCTAGAAATTATGTTACAATAAGAATTTGAATATTTTCATTGCATCTTAGTTAAATTAATTCCAATATTGTCCATGAATGATAAGCTACATGTAGGGCCGGCGCCAGACTATTTTGAGGTATAGGCAACTCAAACTACTTCTGGCAATGTCAAATTGAAAATGGCAAAACCCAGACAAGGCAATATATGATTTCTCAATACACGTATTTGTAGAATCATATGTCTTGATCACTTTGCCTTTTACGGTTTTAACAACGGGGCTGCTGGTGGTGTGTGGTTTGTATTTTTGTTACTTAACAATGTATAATTGCGTACTGATAGGTATCTTTCTTGTGTATTTTCAGTTTTAACTAGTATTAAGCTATAGATGTAGATGAACGATATAACGTTACTGTCATCAGCCCCCGTGGCTGGGGCAACTGCCACACCCAGTATAGGTAAACCAGGAAGTAACAGCAAATCACCACATTGTAAAGTATGCGGTGACGAATCATCAGGTTTTCACTATGGAGTAGATTCTTGTGAAGGATGTAAGGTGAGTACTATAAATGAAGTGCCTAATCTTAAGACCCAATCTGATTAAAACACAGATCCTATTTGGTTTGTTTTTTTATAGTTCAAAATATTGTTTTACTTGCCTTCCTATACACAAGGATCTGGTTGATGTGAGGGATTAGCCAATGGACGTTGTGGCGAGTTCTTGGCATGTGCTGCACTGAACTGTGGGTAGACATTTGCAGCGAAGAAAAGCAAAAGTTGTATATCAAAATGCCCACTTGAAACATGTACGCTGATTGGTTAATCAAATGTCTAATGACATAGGGTTTAAAGCCACTCGAAAGACCCATGCCACGACCTCCCACTACAACCTGTGAGATCTTCGCGTAGTGGAGGCGATCGGGTAGATCTGTATTTAAATCAGATTGATAACATTATTGGTGGTCATGGCTAGTGTATGTCAAGAAAGAAGACAAAATTAAATGCTATAAACTATCTCCATGCAAATCCTCAACCAATTGGACAACTTTAGTAACTTCATCAAATGAGATCAGACATTTATTAAGCTTGGACATAGGATTTACATGTACATGGTCCAGTGTGAATGAGGAAATTATCTCTTAAATTATTTTGAAAATTCTTTGGTTTTTGGGGTTGTTTTTTATACACCCACATTGAAATGGGGTCGTATATTGTCGTCGCCCCCGTTCGTCCGTCCGTCGGTCCAGCGTTCACAATTGCTTGTGGACGCTCTAGAGGCTAAAGTTAATATCCGACTGACTTTAAATTTATATACAGTGTTTAAGGCCATGAGACGAAGAAGCCTATTGATTTTCAGTGATTTCCGATAATTACTGCCAGAGTTATGGCCCTTGATCACTCCAAAAAATCTTGTGGAAGCTCTAGAGGCCAAAGTTAATATCCGATTGACTTTAAATTTATACACAGTGTTTAAGGTCATGAGACGAAGAAGCCTATTGATTTTCAGCGATTTCAGATAATTACTGCCAGAGTTATGGCCCTTGATCACCTTGAAAAATATTGTGGAAGCTCTAGAGGCTAAAGTTAATATCTGATTGACTTTAAATTTATACACAGTGTTTAAGGTCATGAGACGAAGAAGTGTATTCATTTTCAGCGATTTCCAATAATTGCTGCCAGAGTTATGGCCCTTGATCACTTCAAAAAATCTTGTGGATGCTCTAGAGGCCAAAGTTAATATCTGATTGACTTTAAATTTATACACAGTGTTTAAGGTCACGAGACGAAGAAGCCTATTGATGTTCAGCGATTTCAGATAATTACTGCCAAAGTTATGGCCCTTGATCACTTTGAAAAATCTTGTGACGCTCTAGAGGCTAAAGCTATCCTCCGATTGACTTCAGATTGATACACAGAGCTTAAGATCTTGATACGAACAAGTAAATTTTTATGACTTGAACAGCTAAATCCATGATATTAAAAGTTTTGTATACAAAGCGTTAGCATGGGGCAGAACTTTATAAAAACCAAACAAATTCTAATGGTTTTCTGATAATTACTTCATGAGTTGTTACTCTTAATCAGATTTTAGTGTATTATAAATGTTTCATTACCGAAAAAAGTAAAAATATGCGACAACACTTGTTGACTGCCCGGACGATTTAGTTGCTGTAGGCGTATGTTTCGTTGCCTGGCAACCTATCTATTTTAATTTTTTTTTACAAATTTCTGACATTTCAAAACTTTATTGATTATGCAGAAAAACTTCTCTTAAAATACTATTTAATAACACTTTTAGGAATTTTGCTATGTACAGAAACTACCATATTTTTCGAGTTATTAGTCGATCCATTTTTCCACGAAAATCAAACCTATGTCGTATGCTCCACATTGACTAATTTATGGATGAGAAAATATTTCTGTCAAAAAGTCGCTAAACACTTTGTGACATGCCCGTCTTCATTAGTCCAGTCGGAGCAGAACAGTACAACGTTAAATCCAATTTCATTTCATTTCTGCTTTGGGAAGGAAGCAACCAGATGCTGGCTTTTTGCCATAAGTTGGCATTATGTAAAATTTAGAGAATAAACGGGTCGTTCTTGCTATTAATAGTTCGAAAATAGATAACGGAAAATGAATATATTGAAAATTGTAAAGTCTGACGATTTAACTTTTAATCAAATAGATAACGGAAAATGAATATATTGAAAATTGTAAAGTCTGACGATTTAACTTTTAATCTAACTTGATTAAAAGTTAAATCGTCAGACTTTACAATTTTCAATATATTCATTTTCCATTATCTATTTTAAAATATGGATATTTATTCTCCAAAAAAGTAACATTGGAATTGGATGTATTTTGATAATTTCAAATTTGAACAATATACTCTTATTGAAAGATGGCTGAGTAGATAGCTGTGAGACACTGCTTGGCATCCCTTTCAAATTGTGTTTGAATGATGAAGAAGAGTATTACATTAAGTTCTTTTCACATGTTTTCTTGCTACTAAAAACGAACGATACATCATGGTTTTCACTCACTTTATATTCAGAGCCAGGATGTCAATGATATACATTCATTTATGGGGGCAATTACCTTTTAACATTCTCCATCCAAAACAACATGCACATGATACTCCATCAAGATGACATATATATATATATGTGTGGTACTGTAAATGACTGTCTTCCCTGGATTCGACCATTTGTGTTAGATTTTAACTAGCAAAATCAGCGGAGTGTATTCCCATACCATATTAAATTTTAATTTACATAGTTTATACCTAGGAAGAAGTCTACCAGCTCAATTATTGCATGTTTTATGGAACTATGATGTGAATAAATTAAATGAATGGGAGTTTAACATCTTACTTTTCTGCACCAACCCTTCATGCACAATATAATTTGCTATGAGAAAAATTTTGCCCGAACAGATGATCAATGGGCATACTATTATTACAATTTCAAGTACCAGGGATTTGCACAGCCCAATAAATCCAATTCCTTGCTAGGCTATCCATTCTGGCAATGATTCTGCACCACTGAAAAGCTGGAAAATTGTGATGATGGTGTAAATAAACATAGACACTATGTTAGTACATCAAATGCAGACATGTCATCACATAGCCATCTCCTCTGATATTAGTGTAATCGAAATATTGAAAAGTATTCTGGGGTTTGTTAAATGTAAACAGATAATTTGTGTAGGCTTATTTTTTTGTGCATAATAAAAACATTTTTATGCTCCCACATGTAGTTTGGGCATACATGTATATAGTTGTCACCCTGTTTGGGAGTTATCCCCCTTTGATGAAAACCTTGGGAACACAGAGGCTTCAGTTTTGAACAGATTCTTTCAAATTTGGTTATGAAGCATTGTGGTCATGACAAACCCTATCGATATTCGGAGTTCTGTGAGTTTCCGTACCGGGTTATTCCACTTTTTCCAAAAGCCTTGTGAACACGATAGAGGCTATGGTTTTTAACAGATTTTTTTTTCAAATTGGGATAATGAGAGGACGAACCCAGTCGATATTCAGCATTTTGTGACTTCTTTTCAGATTTATTCCCCCTTGTCGAAAACCTTGTGAACGCAATAGACGCAACAGTTTTTATATGCTAACATTGAAATGTGGTCTTATATCGTCGTCGCCCCAGTCCTTCCGTCTGTCCATCCATCCGCTCTAGAAGCTAAAGTTAATATCCGATTGACTTTAAATTTATACACCGCGTTTAAGGTCATGAGACGAAGAAGCCTATTCATTTTCAACGATTTTTCGATAATTACTGCCAGAGTCATGTCCCTTGATCACTTTGAAAAATTTTGTTGATGCTTTAGAGACCATAGTTATCATCTTATTTTATATTTATACACCGTGTTTAGGCCTATATATATATATAGTCGTTTCGATGGAGTTTAAGGTCTTGAAACGAACAAGTATATTGATTTTCAATAATTTTTATACGCCCACATTTTCATGTGGACGTATTATGCCGTCGCCCCTGTCGGTCCGGTCCGTCCACACTCTACATGTCACAATTTTTATCCGATTTTGACAAAACTTAAAATATCTCGGTTCCTTTTGATATTGGCATGTATCGGACCATAGCTTCATGGATTATGGCCCCTGATTGTGCAAAAAGTCACAATTTCCACCCGATTTGATGAAACTTGAAATACATGTTTATAACCCAAAGATCTTGGTTCCTTTCGATATTCGCATATATCGGAGAGTGACTTTCTGAATTATGGCGCCTGATTGTACGAAAAATCACGCTTGTGGTCCCTCTAGAGGTCACAGTTATAACTTATTATCCAATTTAAAAAATAAAAAAAATTATGTGCATATATCACCGTTACACACTAAGATCTTGGTTCCTTTCGCTAATCTTGCATATCCGAATGTAACTTCCTGGATTATGGTCCCTGATTGTTCGAAAAATCGCATTTTTAGTTTGCGGATTCTCTAGAGGTCACAATTTTTTATCCGATTTTAAAAACCGTTTAAATACATCACCATTCCACCATGATGAAGGTTGAATTTGAATTTCGGCAAAATTGAAATGAAACTGCCCGAAAAAATGGCCGCTTTTTGTATGCAAATTGTGTAAAAGTATGTAATACGAAGGTTATGGACTCTCTAGAGGTCACAATTTTTATCGGATTTTGATGAAACTTAAAACATATCTTTTATGTCCCAAAGATCTCAGTGCCTCATGATATTTGTGCATTTCAGACGATAACTTTCTGGATTATTGCCCCTGATTGTACAAAAACTCACGTTTGTTTTTAGCTTTTTCTCTATCCATCTCTTGCAAAATGTGGGCATATCCTGTCTGGCAGCCGCTGGTTGATAACTTGTACAGCTAAATCCATGATATTAAATGTTTTGTATACTAAACGTTAGCATGGGACAAAGAAATTCTAATGATTTTCTGATAATTACTTAAAAATACATTATGGGAGATTCGATAACGAGTTAGCAGTTCTCACTATAATAGTTAAAAACTAGATAATGTAAAGGCAATTTGTTGAAAATTTCATTCAAATTGATCCACTATGAACTGAGAACTAAGCGACTGAAATTCCCACAAGCCTCAGTCATCATTACTAAAGTCAGAACGATAAACAGCATATCTCGATTATCCATTTAATCGTTTAATCGAGAAGGAAAGTTATGCAGTAAATCGGCTTACAATCCACTAAAGATCGCAGGCTAGCTCTGCCATCTAGAGTTGATTATGGCCTGGATAGGTTAATTAATGTCTAATTAATAATTTAGATAACATTTCAGACCTAAAGAAAGACCTGAAATAGGCAGATTTAGCTCTTGCATAATGTATGTTTAATGAGTTGTTATTCTTAATCAGATTTTAGCTAGGGTATTATAAATGTTTCATTACCGACAAAAGTTAAAATTTACAACTCTTGTTGACTGCCAGGGCGATTTAGATGCTATGGATGTTTCATTGCCTGGAAACCTATCTTTGACAGATGTTTTGAAGGCATTCCTTTTCAGTTTTGGTCACCATCCAAGTTTTCCTTTTGGATAAGCTGCTGTCTGGGTGTATTTCCACATTTTAAAGGACAATATTGGTGTCAGTCATAATTACATATGTGATAGAACTGTCGTCATTTCCAGTTTCTTCACGTGCTTGTTACACATCTCCCGTAGCAATGATCTCTGTGTTAAAGTTATATTTGGGATGTATTGAACCAGTTCTATCACATATTTTATAATGACTGACACCAGTATTGTCCTTTAAAAAATAGCCCAAATGAATATACTTTCAGAGATGGTTTCCATCAACTGCAAATAAAAAAGAATAAGGACATTTGTATTTTAAAAAAGCTATTGTAATGTAATTATATATTCACACCCCAAAAAAAAAAAAAAAAAAAACATGGTATAAATTGTAGCACATGTGGTGGATTTAGTGCTTTATCACAGGGCATATTATTATGTATTGCACACCACTGGCAGCTAACATGAAAATCAATAAGAGTGAAACATAGTTCAAAACAACATTTGTCATGTACAGCTAGATAATTGTTACATAACCTGATAACAATAATCAGGTATGCCTGACAATATTTTGATTTGATGGTGTTATTTCCTTGTCATTGTGTTTTATTATTGAACTCTTTTCACTATTGTCAGGAATATAATTGCCACGAGTCATGATATAAATGTGTAATTGTATGAAATGTTATGTCAATCAAGGCTGATTTCTTCAATACTGTAAATTATATTAGCTAAGTTAAGAAAACACCAATTAGGTTTTGTTTTATTTTGGTTGTTGTATTTTACTGACATTTCACATATTTTCTTTGATGCTGTTGTTCATAACATATAATAATATTGACTTATCCGATCGTCAATATTGATTGGTATAAAGGGGCATTCGGTAAGATTAGATAATTAATTAAAAGAGCTGTCAGTTTTCGCTATAATAGTTTAAAAATAGATATTTAAAACAGAATATCCTGAAAATTTCAGTCAATTTGCTTCACTCTGAACCGAGATATTAGTGATGATTCATTTTTAGGCTAGCCTTGATCGTCATTTTTACTGTTGATACAAAGTTAGTATTTTTACTGGATTAGTGAAACAAAGAATCCTATTGAATTTCAGCCCTTGTTTCAGTTTATGGAATCTTTTTAATTCTCAAATGACAACTGATTTGTATGAAATTTTCTTGTAAATGCCCCCCCCCCCCTGCAATTACCTACCCTTGTGATTTACATGCTATGGGCGTATGTTTCGTTGCTTGGCAACCTATTTTATATTCCCACATTTAATGTGGAAGTTGACATTTGACCCAATGCGAAATGGAATTTAAGTCCTACATTTTTGCACCAGGCAAATGAAGACAGTCATATGCCACTATCAAGCATTTAAACACTGCTATTATTTATTTGTTGATTACTTAAATCAAGGTACAATTTACAAATGTACCTCTATCCAAGTTACCTCTTACTAACAGATGTCCAAGAGGGGAGGATGTTAATGACGATTTTTCTTGTTATCACCTGTACGTGTACAAGTTGTTCACAGGTCTGGAACAATTTAATTAAAAAAAAACTATTTTCGTACTATTTTTTCAGTTGGTCATAAAAGACTTATTTAAAGGAAGCTTTGGGCATGTGACAAAAGCGTAATAGTACTTTGACCTGCAGTAGATAGCTAATTAAATGGCTGAATAATCAAACCTTTTTGCAGAACTTGTGTATCTGATGATGTGATTGGAAAGATAAAGTGGAGTCATTCAATCACAATGTCCAATTAATGATAAAAAAATAATCATAACGCACATTTCTTTGGAATAATAAGTTTTGATTGGCCAGTTGATCTGGAGTTAACCAATCATAAGCTGCACATTTACATAATAATTATATAGAAATAATTCCAATAACAAACTCATCCATTATAATGTTTTACATTATTTAAGTAATAGTGCAGTAAAACTGCCAAACAATATATAACAGTACATGAACACAACACAGTTATTCCAAAGAGTCAGAACAAGTTAAGCCATTCACAATAATGTAGAAAGCTTTCCAGAATAGACTAACCAAAAAAGCCTTGCCTTTCTGGCTCTTCCCTGGCCATCACCCATCACACAGCCATCAAAGAGACCAGGGAAAGTGTCATACTATATGAACTAGCACACCATTTGCAATACATCACTGGGCATAGCAAATGAACTCATTTTACTGTTAAATACATGTAGATGTATAGTATCTATGGATATAATTAAAAAAAACTCTTTAATGCAAAGAGCTATTTGCTAGCACACCATTTGCAATACATCACTGGGCATAGCAAATGAACTCATTTTACTGTTAAATACATGTAGATGTATAGTATCTATGGATATAATTAAAAAAAACTCTTTAATGCAAAGAGCTATTTCATGTAGTAAGGAATAAATCTTTATAATTTTCAGGGATTTTTTAGAAGATGTATAACTCAAGGAATGACACATAAATGTGCGAACGAAGAAAAATGTGAAATAACTCCGTTCACAAGAAATAGTTGCCAGTATTGTCGATTGAAAAAATGTTTTGAAGTGGGCATGTCCAGAGAAGGTGAGTACAAATTTCTGTTTTGAAAAATGCCCTTTATTTCATGATTCATATATACATGTATATATATGTATACAATTATTGATTCTGCAGTTTAAGGTCAGACAACATGGGGTGTAGCATGGGAATGGTCAGTGCATTGGACCCTAGACTAGGGTGCTTAATCCATTTTCAAACGAACTGGCCAGAAATGGGTTAATTATAAGCTTCCATTCCCTTTAATATAACAAGACTTTCACAAAAATAATTCTTGGTAATTTGTTATGGAGAATGTTGTATTCTGATGTATGTGATTACCACAAAAATAACCACAATTAGGTATATCTTTTGAAAATTTTCCATATTTAATTCACGTACCAGCTTTCAAGTTCACGTCAGTAATAGTCCTGAATAATTTACTATCTTTGTTTATTCAATGAAACGTTCGTATTTCATCAGTCGATGATCAAAAATATTAGCATTTTTCTATTGCCAGTATCAGAAAATGCTGCAGCCAAAATAAACTGATACGGCACCATGGCATTTCTTCATAATACAATTTGTAGTTTTTTGAGTTTTTTGTCTTATCACTTAACTAGTCACGTAACTTGCAAAAGTTTTTATTCATTCGTCGATGATAGACAAACGGCACAATTGTCACATGACAACCATAATTGAAATTGCTTTAAAATAATTTGTAGTTTTTTGAGTTTTTTGTCTTATCACTTAACTAGTCACGTAACTTGCAAAAGTTTTTATTCATTCGTCGATGATAGACAAACGGCACAATTGTCACATGACAACCATAATTGAAATTGCTTTAAAATAAAATTCCGTACAATTATGATATAGCCTTCAATAAAAATGACAATATTTTTAAAATTAAGCCGTTATCAGAATGTGTATATAATAAAAAAAAATCATAATGGTAAACGCTATTTAAAACTGGTTTATTGACCTAATTCCACGCGATATGTCATTGGAATTCGGCATTGTATTTTCTATCGAAAAAATATACATGTATTATTAAAGACTGTTTCTCGGTGTATTTGGTGTTATATCAGGGGATTATACTCAATGAAGATATAAATTTACCTAACAACTGGTCAGTGAATCCATCAATGTATGATCCAGTTATAATTATAATATCTACCGGTACCTGGAATTCATACGGAGCGTGGAAGACGCTTGAGTGGCAAACCATGCCGAGATCGTGTTCTTTCACCACATGGGCTATTTTTACAAAAGCAGCTTACTGAACCTGTTATGAATAATCAGCAAGCTTGTATTATCCAAATTACCGTTAAATGTGCTAATTAGGCTACTCAGATTATGAACCACAGGTGTCCGATTCTCACTAAGGTAAGGCTGTTGTTGTAGCCGACAAGCAAGTTGATATCACCTCTTAATTAACATGTAAAAATTAACCCGATGTAATTTAGCCGATAGTTGATTGATTTATGATACCATAGTGGCAGGTTCATTGTTTTACCAATCGGCTAGATTAAACATCAATCGGCTAAAGCTGACAAAAAACAGCCAATTAAGAACACTGCCCTAGACTAGAATATCCCTTTTTATATGTGGTCGTATATTGCCGTCCGTCCATCTTTCACAATTTCTTGTGAACCCTCTACAGACTACATTGTTTTGAAATTGATATATGTTGTTTGCTTTGGTGAGATGAAAAAGCCTATTTAATTTCAATAACTTCCAGTAATTTCTTCTGCAGTTATGGCCCTTGTTTCACTTTGTTGCACCTTGTGAACGCTCTTAACGACAAAAGTTATCAACCGATCTGTATGAAATTCATATGCATCATTTAAATTAATATAACAAAGAAACCTATTGAATTTCAGCAATTTCCGTTAATTACCTCTTGAGTTATGGCCCTTGTTTCACTTTGTTGAATCCTGTGAACGCTCTAATGACAAAAGCTATCTACCGATCTTTATGAAATTGATATGCATCATTTAAATTGGCGAAATGAAGAAGCCTATTGAATTTCAGAAATTTTCGTTAATTATGCCATGAGTTATGGCCCTTGTTTCACGTTGTTGTACCTTGTAAATGCTCTAACGACAAAAGTTATTATCCGATCTGTATGAAATTTATATGTACCATTTAAATTAGTAAAACGAACAAGCTATTGAGTTTCAGCAAATTTTGGTTAATTACATCTAGAGTTATGGCCCGTGTTTAACTTTATTGAATCTTGTGAACGCTTGAACGACAAAAGTTATCACCTAATCCGTATGAAATTCATACGCATCATTTAAATTAGTGAAATGAAGAAGCCTATTGAATGTCAGCAATTTCCGTCAATTACATCTAGAGTTATGGCCCTTGATTTACTTTGTGAACATTCGAACATCGAAAGTTACCATCCGATCTGTATGTTTTGTTGCCTGGCAACCTATCTTTCAAATCTTGGCATATTCCGAGAAGAGTTTTCTGACTTTTTCAAGCCTGCTTCTTAGTCATTTGTCTTAAAATTACCAAAATATTGTATTGACAAGACATTAACCATTCCATGCCATGCATCTTGACTAGAGTAGGTTTGAGTATGATGACCTGAATGTATTGAGTCTATTGTAAATTTGCAAAACTTAAAATAATTTTTATATCCTAAAGATTTTGATTCCTTTTTATGCTGTCGTCCCTGCCTATATGTGTGTGTGTCTGTAGGTCGCCTACGGGGCACAATTTGTTATGGATTGTCTTGAAACTTTGCATACTTATTTCTTATACCATAAGGATGATCCCTATTGTTTTTGGGGCAGAGACATGCCCATTTTCTGTATTTGTTTGTCACCTACAGGCCACAATTCTTAATGGATCATTTTGAAACTTGGCATTTTTATTCCTTATGCCCTAAGGATCACCCCTATTGTTTTTGGTGCATGCCCAACCCCCAGGGGCATTTTCTCTATGTGTGTCTGTGTGTCACCTACAGCCCGCAATTCTTAATGGATCGTTTTGAAAATTTATTTATTCCTTATACCCTAAGAATGACCTCTATTATTTTTGGTGCATGCCCACCCCCCAGGACAGAGCCACGCCCAATGTTGTGTGTGTCTGTGTGTCTGCTATAGGACACAATTCTTAACAGATCCTTTTGAAACTTTCCAATTTTTGTGTTAATCCTATACTGGCCGTGATTCTGAATGGATCATCTTGAAACTTGGCACATGTATTCCTCATAGCCTAAGTGTGGCAACTACATGTACTGTTTTTGGTGCATGTCCAGACTCCAGGGGCAGAGCCATGCCCAAATTTTGTGTTTAGCACCTGAAGATCACAATTTTGGATGGATTATCTTGGAGCTTGGTATACTTATTCATTATACCCTAATTGCAACCATTTCATATTTCATGCCCTTCATTTTAAAATGTACCTTATCAATCAAAGCAGGAATGTGGGCATATATTGCAGTGGTAGCAATGCTCCTGTGATATTGATGCATATCAGACCATAACATCCTGGATTTTGACTGCTTATTGTATGCTTTTTTTTTAGCTTCTTCTCTATCTCTTGCAAAAAGTGGGTATATCTTGCATGGCAACCATTTGTTGTTATCAAATTCAGAGTAAAATGTACATATGTATTGGTAACCAATATTAATCAATTTCATATAGATGGTAGTTGTGTTTATTATCAGTAATCATGATATAGGTAATGACTTTATTGATTCCAATCAGTTATTCACACATGACCAACCAATAATGATTGCAATAAACAAGCTTCTAATACCATAGTATTTTATTAACCATTACACTTGTTTCATTTAATCGTAGTTCTATCGATTCATCTAAATAAGATATGTAGAATAGCAGCATTTGACCATTTCATAGTTACTGTCATTTTCAACAGTGACTTTGTACAAAGTGTTTTGAGACACAGGAATTTAACTAGCATCAACATTTTGGCTGATTTAATATCGTTATTCAAAAACAAAAATATATAGAATTGTAGCTCTGCCTTGCATGTTCTTGAAGCAATGACTAAAAGTTTTACAACATCTATCTGTTGCTAGAATAGTCTGAAATTCCCAAAGTTTTAGGTAATTTATCTCCCTTTATCACGTGATACAAACACCTAAGGAATAGATTCATTTACAGCCGTTGAAAGCTTTTTTTAATTGAAAAACTCAAGGAAGACCAAAGAAAAACAACCTTATAATGGAAGAACAAAAATTAAATTAGAAAGGTTTGGACTAAGATGTGAAGTGGGTTATAGCAGAATCATTTCCGAAAAGCAGAAAGTTCCAACAACCTTGACATCGAACAAACCTTGAATTAGGCAGATAATAAGTACTAGAAATTGCTTTATTCTTCAACATGCAGGGGAGAAATCAAAAGATATTGTTTTTCTTGCATGAAATATTATAATATTCATGGAAGTTTTTATCACAGTAATAATCTCTGATGATGTCACAAGAGGCTATTATTCAAAATAAAGATAATGGAGATAAAAGAGGTAATTGTACTATGGGTTGTACTATGGTTTTTACATGTATTTGAAATACAATGTAGCACATTAAGATCTATCATAATTAACACTTTCATTGGGACCTAAATCAAATAAATATAAATGAGCAAAGTGTACAGTCATTGTTTCCAAAGGCCAGCAAATTGTAGATATTCAACACTGCTGATTCATCCAAATATGACAAATACTTTCAATTTAGAAAACTTTAACATGGACATTAAATTTATAATTGTTTGAAATGGGAATCAATGAAAAAATTATGCCATAGATCAACATTTTGTTAAGTACAATGTAGGAATTGGCTTCCATTTATGGGGTATAGATCTTTTCTCAATATATAAACAAAATTAATGAATTAGAACATTGTTTACTGTGGACTATATATCAACTTTTAATATTGCTTTGTTCTCTGGCTTATATTGATGTGTAGGTACAGATTCAAGGTATTTTAATAACATGTAGGTGGCTGTGTCATCTTGATTTTTGTACTGTATGAGTTTAAAGTGACAAGGAGTCTATTGTAGTCAGAATAA